AGAAACTAATGGATATATCCATTCATTTGCAAGCAATCGAGTGTGAAGTATTGTGATGAGAGTTATGAAATAAATGAATAAATGGATAGATGGGTGATTAAATGAGTATTCCTTTTTTTCATATTGGAGAAATATTCTAGGAGGAATACTGTGTAAGAGGAAGAGAGAACAGGAAGAAGTTGGGAGAATAAATTAAACCAATCTTTTCATCTTGATCTCTATCTTTAATTTCACTAGTTATTAATAAGAAATGAGACAATAAATTATCTAAGAGCAACAAAGCGAGCATATAAAAAGATACTGTGATAAAAGAAGTTCAGAAAAGATAATAAAGAAAGTCAGAAAAGATCTGGGACAGCTCAAAAGAATATACAGTAGCAGAAATCATTCTAATGGATGAAACAATGAGATAATTCATTTTCTTGTACAAAGTGACCTAGATGAAGGTAACTTGGCTGAAATGACCATGCAAACAAAAATTAAATGCATATTTGAAATGATAATGAAAATAAGAAGAAAGCCAGGATGAAAATAATCAAAATAATTGTATCATGATTCAGCAAGTTATTTTTGCAACTTTAATTAACAGGTCAATTCAAATGAGTAGAGTTTGAGAAGGTACAATATCTTCCAAAAGAATCCAGTCAAATGAGTCAAAGGAATTTAAGAGGTAGAAAAGAATTCTACGATGAGTATTCTCATCAGTCTCCTAAAATGGCAGACATACATAGATCTCCTCCAGGATTTGTAGTCGGCCAAGTCATTTACTAACATTCTTTGGGTTGGTACATGAGGTAGTTGTAAAATTATTTATAAAAATATAGCAAAGGAACATTTAGTTGATGATATGTGCCAAAAATACATAGGAACTTGAGGAACAATAAAAAAGCCACTGATAACTATGAAATTAGCAAGTATAATAAAAGAATATTAACATAATTCATTAGCAATACTCTCATAAGGGTTGAGAACATACTGAAGGAGTGTAATTAAGAATAGATATTAAAGTAACTGTTACAACATGTCAGCACATTTTGCCAGACCATTTAACACATCTAGAGAAGTAGTGCAATGACAACTCGCCCTGGCAGCAACGTTCAGTTCTATAAACAAGCTGATGCATACAACTCAAAATGTGTGTCTTGTTTGTTACTTAAAAAATCTAAGTATATCACCCTCTAAGAAAAATCCTTAGCAGTTTCACCTATCAGATTGCATTCAACCTCCTAATTCTTAATTTCCAGGAATTTCACTAGTGAACATTTGATTCTTAATCACACCTCATTCCTTATTTACTAGGTTCATGAAAACTGCATCTTTGCCTCTTAGGTTTTTTTTTCTTTTCTTTTTGTCTCCACCTTTAGTACCAGAAATGTATTTTGAAGTTCCATGTCGTACAAAACTCAAAGTAATCAGACAATAAATTCTTACTATAACTGTCACTTGGGTATTAAATATTTGAATAATTTGCATTTCTACCTCCCTGGGAAGGACATGAATAGGCAGAAGTGCAACATTGCTACCACCTCCTCTAGGAAGCCTTCCCTGATTGACTCCTCCACCCGGAGGCTGGATTGGGAGAGCTTTCATGTGCTCCCAAAGTATCCTGAGCTCACTCCTGCTGTAGCACTTACAACACAACATTTTAATTGTCTGCTTACTTGCCTGCTTCTCCCAATAAAATTTGATCTCCTTGAGGAGAGGGACTGTCTTATTCACTGCTGCATCTACAGCTTCTAGCACAGGACCAAACACTAGGTACAACTTTATTGAATGAATAAAAGAACAATATGGGGTAAATTTTCAGTGCAAGTAAAAAAAGGAACTCATCAGTGAAAGTATTCTACAATGACTGCAATTGAAGGGCCATTAGTAAAGGTTCTTTAACTTTTAATCCTTCAAAATATATCACTAAATATATAGGGATACAATCATGTATGACAAAGCTTTTGATCTTAATTTTCTTTTAGAAATTTCAGGGATTACATACATCTAAATAATAGTATTAATCAGCATTACTAAGTAGATATCTTATCTTAGTAGGATACTAAGTAGGTATCATGAGTTCTGTTAGTAAAATACACATATATATGTATTATTTTTACTTTGGTGGTTTTGGAATCTCATGTCAAATAACTTAGAGTAACTTATTGGTATTAATTAATAAGTAAAGAGCAAAAACTCCACATACATTTACCACATACATTTTTAAAAATTGTATTCACATTTGCATCCATCATAAGGTGGCTCAATAGATTTTCTCATTCAATCTACTGCCTGCAGATAGACAAGACACTATTAGTCAGATTTTACATTGAGAAAACCTGAAGCTTGGGAATCTTAATGCACTGGCTCAAGGTTACATAGCTAATAAGTGTTGAATGGGAGTGAGGCAGGTAGGCCTTAAGTCTTCTGTCCTTTTAGGTAGAGCTGTGTAGAGTAGTCCTAGCAGAAATATTTCAAAAGAGTTAATAAAATAAAAGCCTTTTGAATTTTATTTTAGGACGTACTATATACTTCAGGAGTCAGAGTGACCTTCCTATACTATGTTTCTTGATTGCTATATTTAAATGACTTTACTTTTCCAAAACAGGTGGTTATTAATTTATTCAACAAACATTTATATGGATGCCCATTCAAACTCATGGGTCGTGTTAGTAGCTGCATATAGAATGGTGAACAAAACCTGCATGATCCTTGTACATTTAATAAAGATGAAAGAACAATAAGAAGAAATAGGAGAAGGAAGAAAATGGGCACATCTAGATCCTGTCTGATAAATGGGAAAGTGAGTTAGGAGCAATATGCGTGAAAGGGGTGAGAAAACTAGCTGAGAATCAAAGGGATCTTCACATCATTCATGTGATAGGCATAAATAGCCTGGGTGGGACGATCAGTTTGCTTTACTCCTAATACCTCTCCCTACTCTGACGAAATCAGCATTTCCTAATACCAGTTACTCACAAAGACGACCTAAAAGGAAATAAGAAAAATGTTAAAGTCTTTAATCTTCTCAGGAAGAAAAATAGCTATAAGTCTTTATGCTAGAAATATCTAATGCTATTTTCATTATTTAAATTCATTTCTAATAACTTAGGCTAGAAGTTTAACCTTAATAAAAAAATGATTGACAAAGTAATTACTGAAATATTTTGGATATGCTACATTAGAACTGATATATGTAACATATTAAGGGAAAAAAACAAGAGACAAAGAGGCTTATGGGAACCTAGACTATTTCATGTTATATTAATGTAAAAGATCAATGGAATTTTTAATAATGAATGATCATAAAAAGATTTCTTGATGATCCAATATTTGTTGTTTTCAATTTGTTTAATGTCTTATGAAAATATTGATTTAGTAATTTTTACATATTTGATAAATTTCTACAACAAATAATTTTGCTCACTTAAATTTTACCAATTCTGAGGCTCAAGTCCCTTTTTCTCCCTAAAACCTTCCCAGACGGGAAATGATCTGGCCTTCCTCTGACCTTTTAAGATACATTTATTCTTATTGCACACTGTCTTGTCTTTTTTTTTTTTTCCAAGAAAGATTAGCCCTGAGCTAACATCTGCCAATCCTCCTCTTTTTGCTGAGGGAGGCTGGCCCTGAGCTAACATCCATGCCCATCTTCCTCTACTTTATATGTGGGACGCCTACCACAGCATGGCATACCAAGCGGTGCCATGTCTGCACCCGGGATCCGAACCGACGAACCCTGGGCCGCCGAAGGGGAATGTGCGCACCCAACCTCTATGCTACTGGGCCAACCCCATCACACACTTTCTTACACAGCGGTCATTTGTGCATCCGCCTTATATTTCTTCTCTCCCATATTAGATCATAAGCTCTGTCTGAGTCGTAGTTTTTTATCCTCCACATAACAGGTGCTCAAATAAGACTTGTTGGTTCATTTATTCTTTCAACAAATACTTATTGAGGACCTGCTATATGCCAGGCATGAAGAAACACAATGTGTTGAATATATTTAGACTTTTTCTTTAAAACTATTATACTATAGTTTTCAGTTTGATAATATTACAGAAAATGGCCCAATATTTCTAATCAGCATTTATTAAAATTCCTCTTTCCCTATAAACCCACTTTTATTCTCAATTTTATTTATAGGTTCACTTAGGTGAACTTCTGCTATTTTTCTTTGGCCTATAATATTTTTTATTCATGTTTTGAACTAGGTCTCTTAATAAATACTTCTAAATATTTATTTTGCTATTAGATATCTAAGTTCAGCTTTTGGTTCCTATTATAAGCAAGGAGAAGCCAAAATAAGAATAATGAAACAATTTTATAATCCTAATTTTCTAGTTATAAGGAATAAGTCATGAATGGAGCAAGTGTATTTTACATTTGAGATTTTATGCAAAGATCACATGATTTGATTTCAAATCAAACTAATTAAATTCTAATACTCTAGGAAAATTGTTTTCCTATTTCAACTTAAGGACGTATAATCAATTTACAGTTATTGAAGTGCTAGATTCTCATTGTAAAAATATTGGAAATTATGGAAAATTTTAAATAAGGAGTTAAACTTCCAGTTGGCTGATAATGAGATGATGTGTTCACCAATATTATCATGGGGCAAAATCATACCATGGAGATTTCAATTATCAACTGTAAATAGAGAGCATCGGACGTGTCAGCAAAAGAAATTTCAATAAAATGATTAAAAATCATAATAATTGTCTTCTTCCAAATGTATTTTTTATAGCTCTATTAAAAGAATGCTTCTAGCAGTTACTGAAAGTTAACTTTATCCATGTGAGATTTTAACAGACTTTTAATCTAAATAAAAGAGAAATAAAAATTTGTTATAAAAATAGAATCAGTATACAGATTCTAGTTAGGAGTTTGGAGTGTAGGTTGTGGAATTGAGAGTTTAGTAAAGAGCTTAAAATGGAGAATTAATAAATCTACATGAAACATAAAGTTACCCTTTAAGAATTTGTATTTTACCCTTTTGGCTGTCTTTCAATCTCTATTATGTTCACACTGCACGCTCTGGGTATTGAATAAAAATATACACAGCCCATGCAATGAGCACATCCTAGAGCCAAGTCCAGCTGTGATATAAAGCTCCAAAGGTAGTACCATTTAGTCAAATTTTAAATGTAAAATAAATTGGAAAGGATTCTTTTTGAAGGTCAAAACCTTGGCCGAAAGACTATAGAATCTTAGAGCTTGAAGAGACCATATCTAAGTAATCTCTTACCCTCTACCCTCTTCCAAACCACAGCAGACAGATGAGTATCTATTCCAAATCAATTCCAAAGATGTCTGGGAACAACCTGGGATAACTCTTTTCAGAACTTATAAACTAATAAGAAACATTTTTTGTTTAGTATAGTCAAATTAAATTCCTTGCTCTGCAGACTAAACCAGAGGTGGTGTCATGGAAAAAAATATTGGACATGAAACTAAGAAAACATGAATTATACCTTATAACCATGTGACTTTGGACAAGTCAGTTAAATTCTCTTTACCAGAGTTTCTATGCCTATAAAACAGAGATAATAACAAATTTACTTACTTATTATTTAAAAGATTAAAGGAGTTTCTACATGCAAAAGTGCTCTGTAAACTGTAAAAAGCAAGTGATTATTATGGATTCTTTCTCTGGAGTAGTAATTGTCCAACTTATATCACCATTTTCTCCTCTTCACAGGTCCTGTTTTCTAATCCTTTCCCCATCTTTGTATCTCTCCTCTGAAATCTTTTCAAGAGCTCCTACAGCATTGTCTAATTCTACTGCCCTGAGCTAGATCTAAGATTTATTTGGTCAGCTGGCTGAGGTCTATTTTTATTATTATCATTCTTACTTCACTAAACATGCAAACTGGTTGGTTGGAACACAGCTGGGAACAAGACAGAAATGGTCTGGTTACTGTGGAGTTTACAAGATAGGGGCAGGGAGAGAATTAGTAAGGAAGTGAACAAATAAGATAATTTTATATAGTAACAATGCTGTGAAAAATAAAATAAGATAGATGAACTCTCACGTAGGGGTGAGCAATTTGGATGGGGTGGTCAGGGAAGAACTGTTTGAGGCAGTGATGTGTGGCCTAAGAATTGAAAAACAAGGAGGATTAATCATTTGAGAATAAGGGAGAATAGTGTTCTGGAGAGAACATCAAGTGCAAATGGCTTAAGGTGGGTGAGTCACTGGGGCTGGGGAATAGTGAATAAATTGTGTACGATGAGATTAGAGAGAAAAACCTGGGACCTTATCATTGAGGTGTTGTAAATCATAGTAAGTTTTGAGATAAGAAGGCATTGATTGGTTTTATGCGTGGAATGATGTGGCAATGAACTAAAAACCAACCTTCAGAGTTTATCCAGTGACTTCTTAATACTCTCAATACATTCAAACAAGTCCCACCTGGGGTCTCTTTCACCTTGTAAGTGACCTGCAAACTGGATCTTAGGCTTTCCCCTTCATCTCGGTTTAGTAACCACTAATTAGTCATTTCTACGGTGCTTTGCAATAGAGTAATGACTGACAAATTTAGTCAACTTGGAGATCTGTGCCACCCATTTTGTCCTCATTCTCCAGATCTGCCAAAGTAGACTCACATGTCAGGCCCATGCTGTCTCCATTTCATAGGAAGTCATGCACAATTACAGAGCCACTCTGTGGATAAAAACATGTTTCCTACTCCTCACCTGTCATTCAGTGGGAAAATGATCGAATGGTGCTATTATGCGGATATTCTTTAAAACCAAAGAGGAAGGACTAAAGACTATCCTTGCTTTTCTCAGATTCCTACAGCTACACCTAAAAGCCTTGCTGATGCCCTCCCCATCCCCCGCAACCCCCTAGAATAAACAAAGCAATCTTTCAGAGAAAGAGGCAGTTAACAGTAGGATAAATACTTACTGCTTTTCTCTGTACTAAAAGTAATACTGCTGTATCATATTGCATTAGGAATTATCAAAATGAATTAATCATCAAGAAAAAACCCACAAGAATAAAAACTACTGTTTGCATTGTTGGCCGATAGACGGAGATGACAAAATGTGCTCCCAACTGTTAATATTTTCTATATAACATTTAAATAGTATCGAAAAAAACCTGAATTTGATAAGTGAAAAATAGAATATTAGCCCAAGTGCTTGAAAAGTGTATTAGGCATTATGGATTTAGTACTACAATTGTCACAATCATATATGGAAAATCCTTACATGAAATAATTGGGGAAAATGGAGCATATAATGCCTGCATCTGGGTTGATGCGCTACTATTGCCTCGGAGCCAAGGACTATTGATATTAAAGTATCTGAAACTAGTGTACAGTAGGTAATCAATAAATTATCACTGAACTAAACTTCCTGGTACCTGTTAGTTTCCATATCCTAATAAAGAAACAGAAAATTCTGAAGTATTAGTTTGTTGATGAACAGAATCCTAAAATTTTACTGAGGCCAGTATATTTCTCATGTCTCTGAAAATTAGTCAAAAATTGCTCCAAAATGAGATATACAGAAGAAAACTATTTAAAATACTGGAACCTGATACAATCTAACCAATAATAATAATAACATCAGCCTGTTAGTTTGTATATCTTTTGTGCGTGTGTGGTGTATGTGTGTGTGAGAAAGATTGGCCCTGAGCTAACTTGTGTTGCCAATCTTCCTCTTTCTGCTTGAGCAAGATTGTCGCTGAGCTAACATCTGTGCCCATCTTCCTCTATTTTATGTGGGATGCCACCACAGCGTGGCCTGGCAAGTGGTGCTAGGGCCAAGCCCAGGATCTGAACCCGTGAAGCCCAGGCCTCCAAAGCAGAGCATGTAAACTTAACCACTATGCCACAGGGCTCACCTCTGTATATCTTTCAAAGGAAAAGAAAAAAGAGAGGATTCTAGAAGACAGTAGTATTACAGCAATACCAAATTATGGATAAAGGGTAGCAGAATATGCCACAGAATATGCCCAGAATATGCTTCTTTGGCATAAGATTATTTGGAGCCAGTTACTTTTGAGAAACAGCAGACCAGGAGAAGCTCTGAAAACAGAGAAGTTATCCTTTTGTAAGGGAAATTTACATTTATAGAGGAAATCTCCATTTGTAAGAGTGTCTCCCTCTGTACCAGGGAGAGAAGGATGACTCTAATCACAGGAGAATGTTATCAATGAAGAAGACATGCACTTAAGTCTGCATAATAAACCTTACCCATGTTTACCACACTTTTCCTGGTAACCTCTCATAACTGGTCTCCCTCTCCCCCACAGCATCTTTCTTTTGTCTTTAGCTAAAGGTGGTTGCTTCGGCCATTTCAGAGAATTACCCAGTTTTCCTGGGTATCTCCCATGTATACAGGAGGTATACATATTATTAAACTTGTTGGTTTATCTCTTTTTACTCTGTCTTTCATCACAAGGAGTCTCAGCCAAGAACTCACAAGAGTAAAGAGAAAATTATTTTTCCTCCTCGACACAAACTACATTGTTTTAAGACATCTCTGTCTTGGCACATGCTATTTCTTCTGTCTGGAAAGATCTGTGATCCTTTCCATACTTGGCCATTGTGGGAACAAAATTTGCTACCCCTAAATGCGCCACTTTGGCATGCAGACTATTTTAAGTTGAAGGCAATCAACACCCAGCAGACTCTAGAAAAATAAATCTTACCTCTCCCTTAACTATCTAAAGAATTTTGATAGGGGGCCTGGCCCAGAAAGAGAGCTATTACCAAGAGGTAACTTTTTATCTGAATGACTTACCCGTATGGCAGGACAAATATCTAATTACCAAACACCTGCTCTTCTTATTGCCCTGTGAATTACCCTCCTCCACTTTGAAGCCCCAGGCTCCTATCCTATTCCTTAGCTCAGAATAACATGTAAGCCTGAACTGCCCAACTTGTCCTGGGGTCTCATTGGCTTTGTGGGGCCCCCATACATACATAACTAAATTGATTTTTCCCCTGTTGATCTGCCTCATGTCAATTTGATGATCAGACCAGCCAGAAGGACCCAGAATTGGAGAGAAGAAAATTTTTTCCTTCCCTACACCATCTCAGAATCATTCCATAGAGCATTGCTAGATATCATGTCTTCTATGAACCCCGCCCTGAGAGTGCCAACCAGTCCTTCCTCTAGATTACTTGTGGACTTCATACTTATTTCATCATGGCCTTCACACCATTTTATTTTCATTATTTGTCTGCACATCTGTCTCCTCTATGAGGCTGGGAGCAATTAATTAACAGCAACTGTAACTTAACCTTTTTTGGGTCAACACTTGGAACAGTGTTTGGCACACAATAGGCATTTAGTAAACTGTTACTGAACTGGACAGTGCTAAGCTAACTATTTGCAGATACTTGAAATTGAGGAAAATAGAAACGTTGCTTTAACATTGAATGCAAAGACTTTTTTCATACTGGAAAATGGGAATCGAAACATGTTGCCAAAATACTGTTTTTTTGATATAAAGAAGAGATCCTAATGTTATATGGACTACTTTATGTAGTGTACATTAGACAACTTACACTTCTGGATGAAAAGATACATGTGTAAACGACATTTAATGTGTTGCTAAAGTAATTCAGAACTTACTATGTGGATTCAGGAAAAACTGTAAAGTCAATGTAAATTTATTATAGCTTTGTAAGTCAGAAATTGGAACCTAAACTTGAAGTCAATTTACCCTTCATTAGCAAATATCTAGTGTGCACTAAAAATAAAATGTTCAAACATATGGTCAAATCAAAGATGTGTCTATGAATATTACAAAAATTTAAATGTGCTTTAAATAAGTTTAGTAACCCAGACAATTCTAAGAATTTCAAACAATATTTCTCAATGAATGGAACCTTTAAAATTACTTCTTGAATTAATATATAAATTTAACTAATCGATCCAATCTTTACTTAATGATTTGAAGATGAACTGTAGTTAATCTGAAAATATAAGTAACATGCATAAATTCTTTTATGTTCTCTAGAATTCTTTTTTTTAACAAATAGGAAAATCTTTAGAACTTTTGATTGTCCATGGAAAAGAAGTAATCTCATTTTCTTGTGGTGCATAATATTTACAAAGCTGATTTTC